CCCCCCCCCCCGCCCAGGTGATTTTGTTATTTGTGAACCACTGCAATGATAAGTATAGAATCATTCTGCAAATAATAGAGTCCTATGCGAATGCAAAACATCTGTTCTGGCAAAGCACCAGGCATTGACAGCTCTTAAAATTTCCACTTTACCAGTAAATTTAGAATCTTTGTGGTATGGCCTACACTAGACCCAATTCTCAAAAAGGACAGTTAAGGAAGGAAAAAGAAAACTAAAATCAAAATAAAGCTAATCAAAACAAAAGCCCACAGCCCCCATTCAAAAATCAGAAGTGTAAAACATACAAACCTAAAATCTTTGACGTCTGCGTCAATCCCATTCTGCACTGGTAAACCATTGGTCTTGTCCATCACATCACCCTCCTCCTTCAAATCTCCTAGCTTATCTCCATCAAAGGTACCCTTGTTCTTCTTTTCACCTTTGTCGTTTTCATCACTGTCTGCATCCCTTGGGCCCTGTTTAAAAAATAGCTTCAGCTTCACTAATCATCATCAACTAATAATAGCGGGCAACCACTGTGGACACCAGACTACACTAGATGCTAATTACAACAGGATAGTGTCCGGGCCCTTTCAAGACAGTACAATCTAATTAACAGACAACATAGAGGCAGGAACACTGCAGAAAGTCTTGCCAAATGGGGGAGACAGACATACAATTATGTTACAGAGTTTAGAACGGTCTTACCATGCCCAGTGCCCCACCATCCCGTTTTCTCTTTTCTACCCAAAGCCCAGCCACAATTTTACATCTCTTGGTCCCACTTCTCAACTTCCAATTCTAATTCCATATAACAGGATGACTCCTAACAAGCCCCAGGTGTGGCAGCTCACAGTCTAGTTAGAAGGTGTTGAGCCTACGAAAAGAATTTCCTGCTATGCCATTGCCTGTGTAAACTCCCTCGCTTCTGAATACTGTGCTAAGTGTGGTCTGACATCAGTCCAATTCAATCACCTTACCCTTTAACTCGAGACATGTGCCCTGCCAATCAATGTGCACCACTACCCCCTCCACTCCACAATAGTTCTCAGGGCTTACTGCATCGATAACTCACCAATCATCCTTCACTTCATTTTTTTGTTTTAATCCTTCAAAACATGTTCAATCTAAGTGTGAAAGTCTTTCACCAAAATAAAGTACTCTGAGAAGTGCTCATCTGTTGTCTCACCCTCTGCCTGTCCCATAGCAGATTATGAGACTATGAGGGAGCACCTTCAGCTGGATCGCTGGTGCAGCACACTTGACCTCTGAAGTGTTTCAAGCTACAAAGACTGAAAGACTGGACCTAAAAGAACTGTCTTGGTGCCACGCACACCGATGCCCCCTTCTTCTAAGGGAATTAAGTCTGTCTCCTCTTATCAACAATCCTAAATTAAGACCAGGACATAGAAAGCAAATGCGCCTTGATTTCCAAAAGGAAATGAAGATTTGGTAGAGTGACTTGACATGGTTCACAGAGCTTTGCAGAATCTTACCGAATGGTAAGTAACCTTTACTTTTATAAAACTGGAGAGGCAACCTTGCTTGTTGTCCTCACCACCGACTTCTAGTCAAAGGAAGAAACAAATACACCTGGCCCAAATTAAAGCTCCTGGCAAAAGGCAAGAGCCAATGAGAAAAAGAGGAGCTGCTTTACAGCATTTCCAGTCATCACAACCACATTTTGGGGGTGGGGGTGTGTCAATAATGGAGGCCGGAGCAGCAGACGCTCCGTTGTGAACAGGCAAGACCCACGAATGCAAAATACACACACGCTCTCAGGCGAGTTCCTGGAGAACTCTGGCCCAGAGAGGATAACGCACGAATCCCGACATTCTTAGAGCTTTCACCTGCCAGTCAGAGCCCATTTTACTTTCAAATTCATTCTCGGTTCAAGACACAGAAAAACAGTTCACGGCTAATATGAACCAAGGAACACAAGAAGGAACATAGAAAGGATATACAACTTCATACTCATGTGGCATCAAGACGGTAAACTACAGTTTTGGCAGCCACCGAGATGGGACTTTCACAGGAGAATCTTCGAAGTGCAAGACTGTTACAGGTTCAAAAGGAGCGAACGAACAACAGCCAATTAAGTGCCACAGGGAGATCCCAAAGCAGGGATGGGAATACGATAGGATTCTAAAGACACATCTTCCAAAATGTCCAGAAACAACACCTCCCTCCTACTGCAAAGGTCAAACCGACAGAAACCATGTATTCATTTTCCTATCCCCAGTACTGAATACAGTGCCTGGCAGAAGTTAAAAAAAGTATGACGAAGGAAACTGAAATGACCAAAAAGTCCTGCAAAACTGAACTACTACTACCGTAAGAAGGACCTTCCCACTGTCTTTATCATAAGAGTCCAGGAGACAGTGACACGGTCTGGATAACAAACTCTACCTGTATGTGACACCATTAATGTCCAATAACAAGAGTATTAGAAGGATGATCCCACTAACACAACTAAGTAATCTTCCAGAAATCTACAAATCAAGTTCCTGGCTCAGAAGGAACAGTTCGGCTCCAATGTCTCACAAGCAGCTCAAAGGTCTGGTGGCCAAATAGGAAGAAAATGGGATAAAGAAGTAGTGGCAAGTTTCACCAACAAGCAAGAAACCTGGTGACGAGAGATTCGCCCTCACCAAATCAACTCTGCATTTTCTTTCCTCGGTGACACTTCAGAAGGGCCTGCTGAGAAGCTGTTGGGCCTGTCTCTAAGCCAACTGCCAGGGCCTGAAAACAGTCACTGATACTAAACTTACTCAATTATATTGCCAAGGGCTAGATTTTCAAAGGAATCCCTAGAATGGGCCATTTCTCAACAATATTGTACAGTCTATTCATATAAATTATAGATACCTGGTTTTCTGCTCTGATTAGGCTATTAATTCCTCAGAATAGTAGGTTCCTTCAATTTGAAGGTGGGGGACCCAAGAGAGGCTTCTATTCCTTGATCTGGATGGTCACTGGGTGTATTCGTTTTATAGAAACACATAAAGATGAACATATATGACTTATATGCTTTTTAGCACTTGGGTCACATTTCAGTAAAAAGTTTACTCAAGGAACACCTGGGTGGCTCAGTCAGTTAAGCGTCCAACTCTTGGTTTCGGCTCAGCTCATGATCTTGGGTTCAAGCCCCACATCAGGCTCCACGTTGACAGCGAGGGGGCTGCTTGGGATTCTTTCTCTCTCCCTCTCCCTCTGCCCCTCCCCTGCTCGTGTTCTCTCTCAAAACATATAAATGAACTTAAAAAAAAAAAAAAGTTTACTCAAGAGAAAAAGTTCAGTAAATCAACAATAGCCCTAAATAAAAATGGCTCACAAGTCTGATTTCTGAATGATACCAAGAGCACAAGTGGGAAGACTTTTTGTCAAAAGTCTGCTATTAAAAGAGAATACAGGGTTCAGGATCATAAAAATGTTCTCTTAGGAATATAAACACTCTAGAGAGAGAAAAACAGGGGTAGAAATGGGATGGTACATTTTATGAGATTTTTAATTAATATTTAAGATAAGGGTACATTCATAGCTATATGGTCTTTAAGAAAGACCTAATCCAGGAGCACCTGGAAGGCTCAGTAGGTTGAATGTCCTCAGTAGGTTGATTTCGGCTCAGGTCATGGTCCAGGGTCGTGGGATCAAGTCCCACAATGGGCTCTGTGCTGAGTGTGGAGCCTACTTAAGATTCTTTCTCTCTCTGCCCCTCTCCTCAGCTTGCAAGGCCCTCTCTCAGGAAAGGATGGGGAAGGGGATGGGGAAGGGGAAGAGAAGGAAGAAGTAATGCAGAGGAAGGAAGGAAAGAAGGAAGGAAGGAAGGACGGAAGGAAGGAAGGAAGCAAGGAAGGACTAATCCAGATTGCACAAAACCTACATTCTATCTCGACTGCTAACACTTAACTGGTCACAGGACTTTGGACAGGTCATGAAAACCGAGTCTTCATTTTCTCATCTACAGAACAGGGATAATTTTATTATAACAGAGCAGTTATAAAATGATGCATATGCAAAAGGTCTGTGAAGTATAAATCATTTTACACTACAGTACTATGATAATTAGTAAAAGCTATTCACTGGGATGGTATTTCTTAAGTAACATTATTCATGATATCAAGATTAAAACTCTTAAATGCCCCAATTAAGCGGTTTAACTCTAATATAAGTATATAGCCAATCTAGCCCTCTCAGGGACACTCATTTTCACAGTGCAGTGGCTGTATGCTTAGTGTTGAACATCACAATCTTTTTAAAATTTACAAGTGTCTGGGCTCTCACCCAGAGACTCTGATTTAATTGGTCTGCAGAAGCTCCCACAAGTATTATAAAAAGCTTCTCCTCCAGCAACTCTAATAAGCACTCACAAATGAGAACCACTGTAATTAAGTCCAACATAAGCATCATAAAGGCAGGGTTTTTGTTTGGCTTTTTTGGTCACATAATAGTACCGAAAAAGTCTATTATCTAAATAAACGAAAAAACAAAGAAGGATTAATAGCATCCTTTTATTGTGGGCTTCCTTTAAATGAATGTTAACTTAAACCTGTAGTATTCAAATATAGGATTCAATGAGTGCTCAAAATGCACGTAGTCAAGCCCAATCAAAATCTCAAGAGTGCGGCCAAGAAGGGTTCTGAGAGATCCCCCGCCCACACAGAGGCGGAAGACTGTGTTCCACTCGTAGATAAAGAATTGACAGAAGAGCAGGCAAAAAGAAGAACTTTATATCGTGCAGATCAGAATCCATCCATTTATGGCTCAGCTTTGTCAAAAGACTCACATAACAGGAGGAATATTTCAGGAGAATACCTATTAATTCTGAATGAGTCAGAGAAATGAGAATTTAATTTCTTCTCTTACTGCAGTGATCGTACCACAACGCTCCATGGGGCAAGTCACATTCAATGAGATTAGTAATGTTCCGCCCTTCTTTCCAAAAAAGAGCATTCTGCATATCCGAAATTAGAACAAAGTTTGAATCCAGGCCCTACTACTTTCCTTCTAAGCCTCATTTTTTGCATCTATAAACTCACAGGGACAACAGTATCTACCTCAAATGGTTGTTTCAATGATTAAATAAGGCAATACATAAAAGTGCAACTCTTTCAAAAAAAAATTCTTCAAAGTACTTTATTCCATTTTCACATCTTTTTCCCAATGCCTTTTTCAGACACATCCACCCCCACCTCCCAAAGCTTCAAAAGTCCTAGATATCTTATGTCTCCCCATCCCCTGGGAAAAAACTTATGGCTCTAATCATTAGACCCTTTGTACCACGGATTTTCTTGAGATATGTATGCAGAATTGAGCCACCACCAACTACTACGTTTCATCAAATCAATTATAAAACATACCATCATTTTATGTGCTAACAAGGAAATACGGGCAATTAAACTGTGATATACTATCATTTTCAGGTTGCATTCCAATTTCAAAATGAATAACGTGGGGAGGTGTACACTTTAGAAACAGTGGAACACAGAATATACACTGCGCATGTGATCACCTAATTCCTGGTGTGCCAAAAGGTAAGAAGAGTGTTCTCTGCGTAGTAGCCACCAGATCCAGGAGGGGGGAAAAAACATATATCTTGACCATGCAGAATGGTATTTGTTGTTATTACAGAGATGAAACACAACAAAACCATTTTCTAAAAGGTGGTTGTTGGTTTTTTAACTTTTTATCTAGTCCGTATTTAAAAGCTTGACATTGATAGTAGAGCATGCAGATTTCCTGTTCAAGAGAAGTTCAAATCTAAAGGGGCTCCACCAGGGGCGCCTGGGTGGCTCAGTCGGTTAAGCATCCGACTTCGGCTCAGGTCATGATCTCGCTGTTCATGGGTTTGAGCCCCGCGTTGGGCTCTGTGCTGACAGCTTAGAGCCCAGAGCCTGCTTCAGATTCTGTGTCTGCCTTTCTGGATTTGATCCATGGCCTCCTGGTAATTTAATCCTCCAAGAAAATTACGCATTTGTCAAACTTTAGTGTGCATGCAAACCACCTGAGGATCCTGTCAATTAGTAAGCAGGTTTTGATTCAATAGGTCTGGGGTAGGTCTGGGGTAAGTTCCCAGGTCGTGAGAATGCTACTGGCCCGTGGACTTGGTGGAGCAAGATTCTGTAAGGTTTACAAAGCATCTTCATATACATTACACATCCATACAAATGAGACTTTGTGGGTTTTTAATTACTCCATTTTGCAGATGAGAAAATTAAGGTTCAGCTGAAATTCAAATCCCTGACTTCTAACTGCATTTACACTACACACAATTTTTAAACAAAATCAATTAAGTAGCACTGGTTACCTAAAACAAATGCAGCAAAGACTAGAAAAGCCAGTTATAAGTTTTGTGACCCAAAGGAACTGCCATGAGTGTGCACACGTCCTCCTGGTCAGAAAGCCGCCAGTCTCTACACACAAGTAGAAAGGCCGGCCCAAGGTATTTTTTCCTAAAGATCTTTCTTCTGCAAGGTTGAGGTGGTCTTCACCTCAACTGAAGTTTAAGTAGTCTTCTCATTTCCCTAGGCACCATAAACCAGAAATGTAGAAATTATAACCCACTCTGCTGACTAGCTAGGCTTCAATCTATTTGAAGATCAGCTGGTATTTCAAAGGCCAACAGCGAGGTCCTTTGATGGGATATTTCACACAGTAGCCTCACAATACGGTAGTCACGTATGATTTTGTAACCACTCTGAACCATGCTTTTGGGGGGACGCAGGGGAGGAAGGCCGTCTCATTCCAGGGGTAAATAAAATAAAGGATACGAAAAGACTCATCTCTGACTTAACTGGTATTCTGAGTTTCCCTATTATCCTGAAACCTGCTACCCTGGTTTTTGATTCATATGTGGAATACTACCAAAATTTTACAGTGGGTGCTAAGAATAAAATACTGCTGTGGGATTCTTACCGTCACCCTGAAAGTACAGAAGCCAAAACTACTCAACTGAGTCCATCTGTACAATCAAGATGAACTTCAGAAAGCTCAGGCAAGTTAGACAAAGAGTTAAATACCTTCATTCAAGCTGTAACCAAGAAACAAACTTACTGAAAGTGGAAAACCACTGTAGAATGAGTAGATTACTTTAGTTCTAAACTACCCTTAGCAAAAAGTTAGTCAGAGTCTGGGTTATCTGTTGTCAGTATCCAGAAATAGCCCCTTGGTACCTGCTTTGAGGTCTACATTTATTATGCCATCGAAGATGAGGTTTTCAGCTCTTAGAATTAAAATGGAGTCTCCCCACGGCCTACTGGAGGTCCGGTCACCCAAAAAGTAAAAATATCTGAGCGCTCTGACCCATAAGCCACCAACTACCACTCAGAATAATTGTCTACAAAGCAGCTCTTCTCTGAACTCAACACTTTCAATGACAGACTAAATTAAAAAAAAAGAAGAAGAAGAAGAAGAAGAAGAAGAAGAAGAAGAAAAGAAAAAAGAAAAAAGGTTCACCTTTTTGCATGCATTCTATGACAACCAAAAAGTGACTCAGGTTTCCATTACCAAGAGCTTTGGTTAAATGTCATCTAACAAACAGGCAGAGCAAAGCCAGGTCATGAAGTTGATAAAAGTAGTTCACTGCTTCTCAGGCCTCCATTCACCAAGAGATTGGATATACAATGTGGTAGCCTGATGTCACTGATCAGTCCTCTGTATCACCCTTGACTCAAGTCAAATATGGGATAGTATTTCATTACCCACAATAAGTTTTTTCTGAGAAGAAGTTGAAACACATCTGGAGAAGTTTTATTTATCTTTATGCAAATCTCAGAGGCTCAGTAAATTATCTGAGAGTTCAATTTTCTGACCTCTATATCCTGAGGTCTTAAACTCCTCTGGTGACAATACTGTACAATGGTTGAAAATTACCAATCTCTCAAGACAACTCAGACGGAAGCCACCTTCACAAAATCCAACACAAGACAATGATGCAGAAGATACTGCTTTGTCATAAGATTAGTGGAGGGAATAAATGCTTAAAAGAGAGAAGCAGGCAAAAATCGCAGTAATTCAGTCCCAGTGTTTTATCTGTCTCCTGATTCCAATTATTTTTCTACCTGCTTCCAAACTTTACAGTAACCCAGGCATGTGCCTCCTGGCTAATACCCAAGAATCAGAAACTGGGCACACACATGATAGAGAATTTATGGCAGGAGGCATACAGGATCCAGTTCACCACACTAACAATTTATCTATGCACAATACCAACCTTTCTCCTACGATAAATAACTAAATAAAAGTTATACACAGAAATTAGCAGGCAACACTTCCTGGGAAATCTGTGCTCGTGAGACAGGGAAAGTGTGAGGGCAGAAGAAGAGGTGAACCGGGGATAGGTGAAAGAAGAGAAGAAGTAACACCATCCTTCCCACGGGACAAGAAGGAAACAATCATTTTGCCCAAACCCATTCCTCACATCCAAGGGTAGATCTTATTTTTCCCAAGTAGTCTCTTGGGAAGGTTCAAATAAAGAAGGCTTTTCCTACCTGATCCACAAGCCACTAAACCTGACCTATGTCTTTGCAAGGTCAAAAGACCCAAAAGCGATCAGGTCAGCTTTGGAATGACCAGGAGTCAAGACTCAAGACAAAAGCCGCAGTTTAGTCCCTTCATCATCCTAAGGGTTTTTATAAAAATAAAAGATCCTCTTCTGGCTAAATTCCTCACATCAAATTTCTAGGTGTGAAGCTGGGAGAAATCCAGAACATCCTCTTACAGGAGTTCATTTTTTCTGGGTTTTCTGTAGAATTAAGAGCTCCAGCCACATGGCAAGTGTCAATGTTAGCTGAAGCATCGTCTTTGACATGCCTAGAATAAAGCTAACTCCACGTGGATTCTGGGTACTTTAAATGTCACCTGTTCTCTTCACACCAACCACGTCAACAATCATTCATTTCATGTCCACTAACATACTGAAGAATTGCACTTGACACATAAGGAAGCTTCACCAAAAATGATACCCTACTACTCTAAAGAAGTTTCAAGTGGAATGAGGAAAAGAGGACCAAGCCTCTGATACCCAGCAACAGATATATGGCAAGAAAAATACTGATCATAAATGCTGTAAGGTAAAGTGAGATCGTTATGGAGGCAAAATTATTAACAGGATTTGGGGAAAAGAAGGTCTTTTATAAGACTGCCAAAAACAATATTAGCCAAAAAAGACTTCACAGAGAAAGGATTCTGAAAACATACAAAGCAAGTCGAGTCAGAAGGAAAGGAGGGAAGACAGATTCAGGCTGCCTTTCATGACCTTCCTGGCTGTGACACGGAATATAAAACCAGTCACAGAACACATTTGAGGACGACTCAAATGGAAATTCAAGGTAAGACTTCTTAGATCTAGAAAGTTGATGACAAGAAAGAACCAGTTTTGAGAAAGAAAGGCTACCAAAGATGCTTGAGAAAGACTGCCTAAGACGTAAAGGGGAAGAGGCTATAGACAGAGGAACTGCTTTGGCAACAACTGAGCATCACAGAGGTCAAACGATGATCAATCCCCTCCCCCCACCCCTGCCCCCACAAAAGTGTGCAGATCTGGAACTAACAGACATTCTAATTTCCTGACAGGCAAGGTACAAGAGGCAAAGCTGTTCAAAGAGGGCCAAAGACCATACCATAATTAAAGCCTAGCTAGCAAAATAAGAATGGTCCTACATATCTGGTCCACTTTAAAGATTTCTGGGTTTTGGCAAATCGCTGCTCTCGGATCTATTCCCAGCTTCAGCTTTCTTATTTTAATTCCTTCTGTTTTTACTTTGTTTGTTTGTTTGTTTGTCTGTCTGTCTGTCTGTTTGTTTTAAACCAAAAATGTCTTCTGATAGACCAAGGAACTGAGAACTAGATTTCGGTTCTACCTCACATTATCATCAACGTATCCCCCAAAAAAACATCATGTCTCTGTTTTTAAAAAGTTCAGTATACATCTCCTACTGTGTTTGCAGACATCGAATTGCAATAAAAGTGTTTTAAAATACACTGTAATTAGTGCTGTGAATATCTAAGGAAACTAAACAGGCATGTTTTGCTTTAGGGGGGGGGAAAAAGAGAGATATAGGAACAAGTTCCTCAAGCCAACTTACAAATCCTCCTTTTCTTAGACAGGAATCGCCCGGGGATGAGCTCAACACATACTCCACCATGCTAACGCCTAGTCCCCCACTCTCCGACCGTGGGGACAGTACAGAATTGACCTCACTGTTCACATGGAAACTCTGACCAGGTCTTCTCTGCACCATGATTGGCTGGGAAACTGAATGATCTACAAAAAAGATACACAAGCATGATACAGTGCAGCCAGAGGCTCAAACAAATTATGAGTGATGTCTCATGGATAAACCAATGACTGGGAATCAGGAAGCCTGCCATGGTCAGGTGAGCCAAAACCTCCTATTGTGTTTTTCCCTAAGTATAAATTCTACATAAACTAAGGAAAACGGAACACACTCCTCATATATCCAGGACAGCAGAACAATACAGCAGTTCACATAACTGGTTTACCTAGGTATAGTGGATAAATTGTTTACCCCTTTCAAGTAGCAGAATTTCTTTTTAATATATTTTATTAGTAATATTACTGAAACAAAATGTGATTTTACTGCCCTTTTTAAAACCAACAACATAATTTGATATTTTCTGATGACTCACTGTCATCCGAGGTTCCATTTTTACATTGCGCTGTAACACAGCACGTTGGCTTTTTGGGATTTTCATCTCCTTCCTCCCTATCCTCTGTTATTTCTTTCTGCTGTCAGTGTGTGCCTCTACAGGTCCTCCCCATCCCTCTTCAGGGGTAGTCTGTCAGAAGAGCATCCGTGCCCAGTAACTTGATTTGGCCCCAACCACATTTACAAATAGATCATCCCATACACAGTACACAGGGGGGCAAGGGGAGGAAAAAGAAACATGAACTTCAAATGGCAGGCATGGATTTTCTAATTCCGAGTATGTTGACAGCAGTACAGAACAAGAAGTTATAGCTGAAATTACGGTCATTTCAAACAGACCACTCCCCTGTGGCTAGCACTTCAATAAAATATTGAAGATTTGATTTTGCGTTAATTATGTTTTAATAAATTACATCATATAAGCTCCTTCATGGCAATTATACTAAAGGACAGCACATTGCTTGACATGCTTATGTCACTGATGTGAAATTCATGACTTGCCAATTGCTGAGGAAAGGAGCTCTAAGACAGGCATAAATCACAGTACAGATGCTAGATCTAGATTACCTGATGTTCCCCAGGCACTGTCTCGCCATTGATCACCCAGGAATATTCCTTTTGGTCCATCTTTGCTGGATTCATCTGTTTCCCAAAACTTTTTACCTGGCAAGAGCTGCTGCAAATTAAAAATAATAGATGCTTTTAAAGAATTCATAAAGGATGAAAGTACAGCAGTCAACACTTTCTTTCAGACAAGGTACTGCAGATGCTCATGTGCTCTGGAGGGCTTTAATCGCAGTGTTCTGACTACACAGACTGTGGTCAGAGCACTACTGCATATTCGGTACAAGTCACAGAGAGGCCTAAGGCAAGGAGGGGCCACAGATCAACCCACCACAATAGAGGCTCAGCTTAAATATCTAGAATTATCCATTTAACCTATGCCAAGATTTTACGGGGGGCAGGGGAAAGGGGAGTAATATTAGACCTATTAGTTAAATACTTGCTGAGAAGACTCCCTTTTAAAAAGAATGTACCTACAACTACTAACACACTACTTCTGCCTACATGTGTACTAACTGGCCATACAAAGTTACTCAAGCTGGGGCATGAACTCAGACCCCAGCCATGGAATGCCAGAGGCAAAACTCACCTCCTTCGCACAGAAGACTGTGTTAACCAAAACATTTTCATCACCAGAAAGAAAAAACAAGCAAAATCTTCCCAACCACAACATTAACCTATTCCAAGATCTTGGGAAGACAGAACAGCCAATTTCCCCATTACCGGAAGGGAAATAAAACCTCCTATCCTCAGTTGATTTTAACAAAACTTAATAATACCATTAAAGTGACTTCACAAAACACTCCATGCTTCACAGAAATGTATACATCACTGGCCCTAAACCAATATGAGAACTTTAAACTGGCTGTGACCAAAGAAATGCAAAGTACCATTTAAGCAAAACCAGTACAGTTTTGCCCAAGATCAAAGCATTAGCGACCAGGGTCAGTTACAAAGTGAAATTCCACTGGAATTCCATCATTCTTCATTTTGGTCATCAGCTTTACTCACTAAAACGTCCCCCTTATTTCCTCTAAGTATGTTTTCATTTCAGCTACTACTAGTCAGACAAGAAAGACAGAAGTTTGAGACAGTAATCGCTGCTTTTGAGCATAAAAGAAGCACCTGGAGAGTTGAAGTTCTCAGAGGAACAGAATCAAAAATCAGAAAGCAAAATATTTGCTCTCCTCCTTGATAATAAAGGTTTGCCTTTCCAATTTATAACCCATACGGCAGCGATAATGGGGAGAATAACTCAACTTTGCCGTCACTGAAATCAATCTCGGCTTTCCAAATCTGGATTCTGGGTTTCTCAGCGTAATTTCAGTTCTGTCTCTATACATCTGCCTGGCAGACCTGGGTTACAACCTGGTCAAAGCAGTTTCCCACACACTTTTCTCTTCAGGCCCCAATCTGTTATTTTCTAATCTAGCAAAAGACACATTTTGGTCTGGCATTCAGTAAGCTTACGTTTACTTGAAGATGAACAGTTATAAGCAGTCGGTGCCTAGAATGCCTCGTGGCTTCATTCTCTGAGGGAAACAAGGACAGACAGAGCTCGTCTGTTAATCTGAGATGGGGGCAGGGGTGGGGGGAACGGCGGGTGGGCAGAAGGGAGAGCTAAGCAGTGGGGTCAGAAGCAGTGGCGTCAGGAAGTCACGGACTAGACAACTTTGATGTGTCCTGGGACAAACTGAACTGCCCTAGGCCTCATTCTTTCTGTACTGATGATGGAAATAATTTTCAGGTTGTGATGATTAGAGATGTTGTTGAGGAGTGCCTAGCACAATGCCCACCACACAGCAGGTTTTCAATAAATGTATTCAGTGTTAGCATGCCAGGGCAAAATAGCTGTAAATCACAGAAAGGACACTGAAAATTAACGTGAACTACTCAAGCACAATTCAAGAATTCTTGTTTTTAAACTTATTTTTCTTCTTTTAGTCTCAAAAATGGCCTCTCACAAGATTACAAATATTTCCCTATTGGTTGTATCTTTTCCAACTAAAATTGTGATTTTTCTCCTGCATTTTGTAGGTGGTGTGAAAAAACAGGAGTCTACGTCAACGTCAACTTCTCTTTTGCGTACAAGAATGAAAGCAGAAGGGACACCTCACTTACTGGTTAATTTCCATATAATAGTGGATGTTTTCCACATAATGATGGAAAGAGAGCAAAGGTCATCAAAAAAAAAAAAAAAAAAAAAAGGCCAAGGGGCACCTGAGTGGCTCAGTTGGTTAAGCATCTGACTTCTGCTCATGTCACGATCTTGTGGTTCATGAGTTCAAGCCCCACATCTGGCTCTGGGCTGACAGCTCAGAGCCTGGAGCCTGTTTTGGATTCTGTGTCTCCCTCGCTCTCTGCCCCTCCCCCCCTCGTGCGCACGCGCACATGCGCGCGCGCGCTCTCTCTCTCTCTCTCTCCCTCTCTCTCTCTCTCCCTCTCTCAAAAATAAACATAATTTGTTTTTTAAAGAGTCAAAATGGCGCTCATCACTCTCCACACAAATATGGAAATCTTTACTGAGAACTCAAGGAAAAGCTTCTTTGAATATCAGCCTCCGTATGCAAATACAGTCCGTCGGTAATTTGTCAAACTGCTGACAAAGCAGCAGCCCTTGAACTCAAGGCTTCAAAAATGACTTCTGGAATCCTGTCATCTTTCACTGTAGCTTGCCAGGCTGTCATAACATAACATACAAAGCCAGCAAAAGCAGGTGAACATGTAAGCAAGGCTGGTTCCAGGCCAAGTTCTCTCAAAAGGAAACAACACAACAGACACGGAGAAAGGTGCTAAAAAGTGGAGATTTTACTTCAAAGTAGTAACAGATGCAACAAGTCTCAAAGGAACGAATACACACCAAAACCCCCAAGACCCTTGTCAGGTACTAAGAGGCAACCATTTCTCCATTAGCAATCGGTGTAAATGTAAATCCTACATAGAGACTAGGAACAGCGCAAGAAGTACTAGAACTCCACGTGCTCTGGCAAAGTAGTAGCGAGGAGGTCAACGAACCATTATCAATGCAAACAGCTTGGACTGAAAGGGCAAGTCTGTAAGAGATCATGAAAAAAGGGGTGGGAGAAGAAGGTGCTAGCACACCGATTCTGGGAGGGAAAGAGATGGAGCCAAGTTGTCAGAGTGCTCTCCAAATGGGAAGAAAGTTAAAATACCACACCAAGCACAACGTGGGCAAAGACAGAAGCAAACTCAGCAAAGCTCTTCAGAGTCTCGGGTCTGGCACGGAACCTAGCCTTTCTCACTTTCCTCCGCAACATACCCATCCCCACCCCTCACTTGTGTGCTCATCAGCATCAGACTGGGACCTCTGCCCCCCCTGGTACTCATGGCGCTGTGTGATCCCCTCCCCTTGACTGTGGGCCGGACCTAGTGACTTGCTCCTGAGGAACAACACACGGTAAGAGCAATGGCGTGTCAGCTTCAAAATTACCTTACAAACACGGACGACCCCTCCTGCTTGCTCTCCCGCTTGCTCACTTTGAGGAAGCTAGCTGCTACGCCGTGACCTGCCCTGCAGAGAGGCCCCACGTGGCAAAACCCAAGAGAGGCCAGGGGCCATCAATTCATTAGGAACTCAGGCCCTCCGAACGACAACCTGTTAGGAACTTAATCCCGACATCAATCTCCCGAGTGAGCTTAAAAGCAGACCCGTCCCCCGTTGAACTCTGAGATGGCCGCAGCCCCCACTGCAATCCTGAGTGCAGCTTGGGAGGGGCCCCGAAAGAGAGGGCTTTCAAAGCCATGAGTGGGTTCCCGCTCACAGAAACTGTGAGGTGTAAACAACTCTGTTGTTTTAGGCCTTGAGATTTTGAGGTAACGTGTCAGGTGGCAAGAGGAACTCGTACAGTTGTGAATGTATTTGAATACAGCTGTTCTGAGATTCAAAACCTTTCTTAAGTCTGATTTCAATAGGGGCGCCCGCCTGCGTGGCTCAGTCGGTTGAGCCGACTCTTGATCTGGGCTCAGGTCACGATCCCAGGGTCGTGGGATGGAGCCCCAGACGGGGCTCTGAGCTGAGTGGGGAGCCTGCTTAACATACTCTCTCGCTTGCTGGCTTGCTCTCTCTCTCCCTGCCCTCCCCCAATCGCGCTTTCTAAATAAAGTAAGTAAGTAAGGCGCCTGGGTGGCTTGGTCAGCTAAGTGTCCGACTCTTAATTTTGGCTCCGTTCATGATCTCACGGTTCATGGGTTAGAGCCCACGCTGCATCAGGCTCTGTACTGACAGTGCGGAGCCTACTTGGGATTCTCTCTCTCCCTCTCTCTCTCTCTCTCTCAAAAATAAATAAATTTTAAAAATAAATAAATAATTCAAAATCTGCTTAAAAATAAATAAAAGTTTGTTTTCAAGAAGCACTTCTCATTCCTTTTCTAGTATCTACAGTCCAAGGACTTTTGACTTTGGAAAAAATAACATGCTTTTCATTTCCCATTTTCCCCTACTTTGTCTCATAGCCCTTCTGCATTAAAAAAAAAAAAAAAAAAAAAAAAAAAAGTACTAACTTCTGCAAAATTAGATGGGCTTAAATATATAAAGCTTACCGAAAACTAGTAGCAGTCAGATATTCGAGTCAACTAAAATAACGACATTCACCATTCAAATCTGATCAGAGTTAAAGAAACTATAATCTATTGAATTATAAAATAAAACAAAGTGACGATGAGTATCTGTTATTTCAAATGCAACAGCAACCCCTCTGGAGGTATCATCTACAGTATTGGCTAAAACAGACTGACTGGCTCACCAACCCCCTGGCATAAACACCAGGAGTTGCCAAACCTTCATTTAAGCCACACCTAAATCCAACACCAAAAATTTAAAACCAACCATTGTATGAAAAGTGAATTACTGCTTACCCCATAAAAAACTTGGAAATAAAATTGTTCTTTGACAGGAAAAAAAAAAAAAAGGAACAGATCACAGCAGAGGTTTACAAAATTTACTTTAAAGAAAGATTAGGCAATAAGAGGATTAAAAGATTTGACAATTCTAAAGGAAGATAACTGGAATTAGGAATTGGTCTAACAAAAGCAAAAGAGACCCAGGGAGTCAGATGTAGGCAGTATTACCCAGGTGGCAAATTTAGGGAGAGG